GCGAGGAACATGTAGTACCCAACTAAGTCTACATAAATGTGTTCTGATTGGCTTTTAATCGAATCAAAGAGCCAATCCAGAATCAAATCAATAGGATGGGTATAAAACTCAATTTGCTCCTCTTCCTTACTGGCGTTTTCACATCGTTCTCCAACCTTTGATCTGTGCGTTTCCAAATGATTCAGGAAATGTTTTGGACTTCGAAGAAATTCGTGTTCTGTTTCTGTTTCTTCAAATGGCCATTCCTTTTGATCCAGCTTTAGAACTTCGTTTGTTTTAAGACGAGCATTTTTTAATTTTTCATAAACACTTTCTTGGTCTTCCTTTCCTTTGGAACCCAAACACAGCACCGTAACGCCTCGCTCGATTTGCAAGTGATGAATTAAATTTGCCGCGTGAATATTTAATTCAAGGTTTTTCTCCACGTTGTTTGCTGTTTTGATGTTTTGTTTCGCCTGAAGTACATCCTCCAGAACGAAGATAAGAAGCCCAAGCACAGCTATCATCGCTACTCCGATGATCTTCAGTGACTGTATACGACGGCCAGTGGGTGTGGTGACGTCAAATCGCCAGCACATGCGCAGGAATTCGACGCCTTTGTTTCTTCCCATTTTTTTAAATATTTACTTATTCATGAATTTAACTGAAATAGAAACAAATAACAAAATAAAACTTGACTTAGTGAGTTGTGCACATAGCTATTCTATTACTATTTCTTTACCATTTTCGGCATTCCAACAGGGGTATTTGTACTAGAGTTGAGAAAAGATATCAGGTAAATTTTGAAAAATATTTCTAATTGCCATTCGAAGTACTTTTTCTTCCTTTTCCTGCTGTTCATTGGCCGAGAGCCCGCCACGTGACCTGCGAATAACTGCCTACAAATAATGGTCTGCTCATGCGTAAAACCATCTAAATGTGTATAGCTGCAAGTAATACTCTGCTCATGCGTAATTGCAACCACGCTCTGGTGCAGTGTGAGAATCAGTGGTAAATCAGTTTCTTCCCTGAGCTGTCAGAGAGTGATTTAAACATGAAAACACACTTGGTGATTGAATGATAGAATAGTTATTGAACTTGGTTATCGCAAATATCTGCTCGCCACTGACAAATCGTTATATTTTGCTCAATCTCGTCCAATAATTGTTAATTTTTTTGTGCCAGTCCTTCTAGTTATTTTTTAGTATTGGAATTTGAAATGTGGACGTCGGAAACTCAACATAAATTGTTTCGTCATCATCCAGTATTTATATTAGTGGCGCATGGTGCAGTTACCGCTGTTTTTGCGTGCAAGTTGCCTTCTCCAACTGTAAAGGATTCGGTAGTATTTCTCTAGCCTGGAGCATTTCCAATTTCACAAGACGAGGTAAACATCGACGACTTCAATCTGAGACCCATTTCTGAATTTTGTGATTTTGGATTATTGATTCATGAGTTTAAAAAAATATGTGCTATTCATATCTGTGGGCATTTTAGGACCGTCAATGAAGCACTGCGATGATTTCACGCAATACATCAACAATTTGTCTTAAACTTTTCTCATAAGCCAGGGGCCAAGCGCTTTCCCCCTGGCATACATTTCTTTGTAATGTTTGGGGTCTTATATTTCCAAAAGTTTGCAACGGATTCTTATGAAACTTCGCATATTTACTAAATTTGGCATGATAAATTGATCTGTGGGGTTATCTTTTTGTTTATATGAAAATTTTATCGCATATTTGCTAAACTTTGCATGATAAATTGAGCGGCGAGGCCGACTTTTGTTTGAATGAAAAAGTTGGAGTCGTATTAAACTAAAGAGCGCTTCAGTTGAACTACAACATTCACATTCGTTTTGTTGTCTCAAGCATTTCTAACCTTGTTTTGACAATTTCTTTTATATTTTTTGACCTGAAAAAAAAAAAACCTTTGAACTGTTTGGGCGACACTCTTTCCAGAGGGAGCCATCGAATGGTGTCCGAGACGTAATCTTAACGCGAGACCTGTCTGAATAATTCAACGACCTGTTAAAATTTCAATTACATCTCACAAAATTGAAATAAGAAATCGAAAGTTGTTTTACTATCAAACAAATTGGAGCGCTTATAAATCTAGAATATTCATGCTTTTTTTAGTTGGTTACTTCAAGTACACTGTGGATAACATTTGATATGCGATCGTCTTTTCTTTGTCGGATATATTTCATTTAACCATTCTAGTTGCGAATCCAAGGTGCATATTTATATATTTATTTATTTATTGCGCTTGTGACATACTTATTTGTACAGATGAATTAAGTTCAAAGAAAGTCGAAGCCACCGAAAATGCGAAGCAGAGAGAAACTGCAAGGTGAGGCTGCAAGGCTGTAAAAGAATAGTTTTCACTTGTTCAGGACAGCATGGCTTCTAAAAACGATAAAAAAATGTTTCCTCAAAATTGGAGTATATATCAAGACATATCAAGAATAGCCGACAAACTAAGGTGCTTTTGCAGACAAAAATTTAATTTCGTTGTTCAAATATAATAAGCAGCACACATGCGAACGTCGCTTGGGCTTTGTTCATAATCATTAAATTGCACCGTTTTATGCAAACGAAATGTTAAAACTCAAGCAATCAGCGTTAAAAGAACAAGTGTTATGAAGCGAAGCGACATTTAAAAGCAACTTTTACCGCATTTTAGCGGAGTCTTTTAAAGCCGTGTAGAATTTTGATTTCCCAGAGTGCGTTGAGAATCAAAGTACTCTAAAAGTGAAGATGTGTTCTTATTTAGCTGACCAGAGAATTGCTCAAATTAAATAGCGACCATGCAAGAGAGAGCTTTCGCAATCTACAAGAAAAGGCGGCTAACCTTGACCACGATAAGCTATCCTTACACCTCCAGTAATATTCTTCCGCGACAAATTGAATCGAAATGAAGGGCACGAGATTGTTTTCTATTATCAGCAGTGTAATTACTGAATTGCAGCAAACTGTAAAGTAAACCTAAGATGACTCATAAATCACCTCATGTTTCCGTACGAGACAGGACGTAAGACATCTTGTTTCGAAGCATGCAATTTCATTTTCATTTTTTTTTTTTATCTTATTCCCCACGGACACTGACTTCAAATATCTTGTAAAACTAATAATTACACAACTGCCACTAACGTCACTTACAGAAACTGTCGGTAGCATTAATTACAATTTTGTGTTTTGTAACACTGGCAAATGTACGGTACCCTAATCCCGGACGCTTACCCAGCAAAAACTAGGGAGAGTTGAAGTTTCTTTCACGTACAAACCTTCTGCTATACCTGAGTTTGTATTGAAGTTTCCTTGACTAAGCCGCTTCATTCTCACAAGATAAATTTGCAAAAATATGAGTCGAGTTGCGTGTCCTAATCACGGAAATATGCCTCAACTCCAGACGATCATGTGTGCTACTTTTTCTTGGCATTTCTCATCTCCGTTTTCAGAATCGTGATCGATTACCTGCCATAAAATAATGAATATGCCAAATGTTCAGTTTCTTTTAACCTAATTGTCGCTTTTCTCTCGGTTTAACTATCACGTTTGACGTTTTAAAACCTGATTAATTATTCAATATGTTTTTCCCTTTCAAAAGAAAGTCCGATTCGTCGCTAACAAAGCAGGAGGCTTAACAAATAATATAATGGTGAAAAGAAATTCAAATTTTGAAACCGTTCCGCATAAAACAAATGTCTGGATGGTATCTTCTATCTTCTTGCTTTGCTATCCTTGCTGCCCTGGCACACCCAACAAGGATTTTCTATCGTAACCCCGCTCGAAAATTCGAAAATACCTAATATTGCCAGTCCTATATAGGAAAGAATGTAGTCATTTAGGTTAAATTGTTCTCAAAATTAATAGTATAAACAGCGCATTTTTGGCAATTCGGAAAAACCCCGCAAAATTGGAAGCGTAGTTAAAATGCAAATTTAGGAGCAGAGAGTTTCACCTTCCTTGGCAAGAGCGCAGCAGATATTGACAAGAAAGTCACCAGGAAGATAACGTTATAAGAAGTCAATAATGTATTGGAAAGTATCTATTTTCTTATTATTTTCGAAGAATATAATGACGATGTAACTGAACCTGAAAGTCAACGGAATTGGGGCCTTCCTAAATAAGAGCAACACACCATAAAATAACTAGGAAAATGAGCTGAAAAATGCCCAACTATTGTTTTCAGCCGGTTACTTCAGCGAGTGACGTACCTGTCAAATGCACATACGGTCCAGTTTCGTTTTGCACGCAACGAGATTAGTTGCTTCACACCAGTTTGATTTCATATCAGGACTCTTAATACCGAATATCCCTCATGCAGAATTTTTTGCAGCGATGAATGGAATTGTTAAGAGCAAAGTAGCTCAACTATTAAAATTACCTTTTAGCTACGAGCTGCCACCTCT